CGCCACCACAGCCCCGCCTTTCCCCCTTTCTCTCTCCCCTTCCCTGCCTCCCTCTGCTCACTCTCGCTGTCCCCCTGCAGTGGCCCTCATGAATCCAGGTAACTGCTCTGAGGAGCAGGGCTCCTGGGCTTACCCAGAAGGGCCCGTCTCGGGCTTCTGCGTGTCCCAGTATGCCAACTGGCTGGTGGTGCTGCTCCTCATCGTCTTCCTGCTGGTGGCCAACATCCTGCTGCTCAATCTGCTCATCGCCATGTTCAGGTGCGCCTGCTTTCCCACCCAGCTCCTCCCAGCCCAAGCCCGCTCAGCATCCCAAGTCCTGACTTCCACCCAGTGCCCCACTTGGACTTGCTGCTGTTTTTGGCATGTTTAGGCAGGGTCTCACCCTATGCCCAGGCTGGTCCTGGAATTTAGGGTGATCCTACTCTGCTCCCCGAGTGTTAAGATGCATGGGCCACCTTGCACCAAATGCTTTTAATTTTGATGAAGTCCACTTTGTTGAATTATTCTTTTGTTGCTTGTAGTTTATTTTATTTATGTGTGTGAATATTTTGTCTGCATGAGTGTGTGTGTGTGTGTGTGTGTGTGTGTGTGTGCAGCATATGCATGCAATGCCTTCAGAGGCCAGAAGGGGGCATTGGATCCTCAGGAACTGGAGTTGCAGGCAGTTGTCAGCCACTATGTAGATGCTGGGAGCCAAACTGGGTCCTCTGCAAGAGCAGCCAGTGCTCTGAACCCAGGCTGAGCTACCTCTCCAGCCTGAGTTTTGCTTTTTGTGGCTTATGCTCGTGCCGTCCTGCGTGAGGGTCTGTGAGAAGGCCAGAGGTGTTCTTCCAGATTCTCTGCTAGGAGTTTGTTTTGGGTTTGAGCACTGACTTGTGGCTCACCAGCCCATTTGGAATTATTTTTGTTTGCAGTGTGAGGGCAGGTTGAATTTTATTCTTTGTGTCCATTCAAGAGAGTTGATTAGAGACACTGACCTTAAGGTCCTTGTTAGAACCCCTGGACTCCGGTGGGCGTGGCCAAGCAAGCCTATTGTCCCAGCGGGAAGGTAGAGACAGGAGGATCAGGAGTTTAGGTTACATGAAACCCTATATCAAAAATCAAACAAAGGCTGGAGAGATGGCTCAGCGGTTAGGAGCACAGTCCCCTTTAGAGAGGACGTGGGTTCCCAGCACTCACATGGCAGCTCACAATGTCTGTAACTCCAGTTCCAGGGGATCTGACATCCCCCCCTGGCCTTTGCGAGCAGTGCGCTGACGTGCATGCAGGCAAAACACCTATACACAGAAAAATAAATAAACCTTAAAAAAAAAAAAGCCAAACTGGGTGTGATGGTGCAAGCCTTTCATCTCAGCACTCAGGAGGTAGAGGCCAGTTGATCTCTGAGTTCAAGGTCAGTCTGATCTACAAAGTGAGTTCCAGAACAGCCAGAGCTACAGAAAAAGACAAAAAACAAATTGAAACCTATATCAAGTAACCATTGTATTATTTTGAAAACCACAAAGCCAGGATGGCAGGGTAGAGTTGGGTACAGCTCAATTGGACACTTGCCTAAGCTTGATCTCCAGAACACATGGAAAATTCCCAAGCATGATGCTGGGTTATTGTAATCCCAGAGACAGGAGGGTTTTGGAGGATTCTGCTCAGACAGGCTAGTCTAATCAGTGAGCTCCTGGCCAGTGAGAGACCCTGCTTCAAAGGTATACAGCATCTTGATGATGCCATCAAGGTTATCCTTTGGGCTCCACTTGCACACAAATATGCATCTGTCCATATACACACGTTCCCACACATGCATTGCGTAGACAGACACTGTGCCGGACAGATGGCTCAGGAGTTAAGAGCACTTGCAGATCATTCACGAGGACCTGAGACCCCAGCACCCTAATAGGACAAATGGCAGAGCTCAGGGTCCAGGGGATCTCACACCCATTTCTGATCTCCACGGGCACTTGCCTACAAAACCTTTATTTCTGTCATAGGTGTATGAGTGTTTGCCAGCATGTATGTATGCACACCACCTGAGTGTAGTGCTGTCAAAGAACAGAAGAGGGCACTGGATCTTTTGAAGTGAGACAATTGTCAGCTACCTCCAGAGTTCTGGGAACTGAAGCTGGGTCCTCAGCCAGAACCAAGTGCGCTTAACTGCTGAGCCATTTCAGCAGCCCCTGACTACTCTGTCTTGCCTTCTGAGACCCAGTCCTATGATCAAGGTCTTTTATTGGCCTCCAGTGACCCTTGACCTCTGACCTCCACAGCTACACCTTCAGCAAAGTACAAGACAACAGCGACCTTTACTGGAAGGCACAACGCTACAGCCTCATCCGGGAATTCCACTCCAGGCCTGCGCTGGCCCCGCCCCTTATCATCATCTCACACTTGCGCCTCCTCATCAGGTGGCAGCGCAGGTGTCATAGGACTAACTTGCCCGCCTCCCCAGTCGTCGAACACTTCCGTGAGAATGGAGCGTGGTTTGCAAGGGGGCAGCACTTGGGAGGGGAAAGGGAAGAGAGACAGGTCGGTGAGGTTCGGGTGGGGAGGGCGTGGTCTGCACCCATCTGGGGGCGGGGTCTGAAGAATTTGAAGACTTTGGGGAGGGGGTGTGGCCCCCGGTAGGCCTGCCCATTGACTCCTGGACTTGGCCCTGCAGGTGTCTATCTCTCTAAGGAAGCAGAACGGAAGTTACTGACTTGGGAATCTGTGCACAAAGAGAACTTCTTATTGGCACAAGCTCGTGACAAGCGAGACAGTGACTCGGAGCGCCTGAAACGCACGTCTCAGAAGTGAGGCAGGAGCCTGAGATGCTCAGGATTCCCCGGGTGGGATGCTGATGCGCCTGCATCCTACTGGAGGCTTCTGCAGGTCGGCTGGCCCCGGGCTCTGAGGGTCTCTCTTTCTAGGGTGGACACGGCATTGAAGCAGCTGGGACAGATTAGAGAGTATGAGCGGCGTCTGAAGGGGCTGGAGAAAGAGGTGAGGACTCGGGCATGGCAGAGGGGGAGGGGCAGGGATGGAACCGCCTGATTCCCTTCTCCTGCCTTGACATACCCCTTTCTTCCCAGGTCCAACACTGTACTCGCGTCCTGAGTTGGGTGGCCGAGGCCCTTAGCAGCTCTGCCTTGCTGCCTCCAGGGGGGGCGCCCCCTCCGAGCCCGCCTGGGTCCAAAGGTCCGTCTGTGCCCTCCCGTTGTCCCTGGGTCCCTTGCTTGGTCTTCTGAAGGCTCTGTTGGTTCTGCTTGTGTGTGGGTCTGTGTAGTTGGTGTGAGCGCTTGCATGTGGCGGTCTGGGGTGGATGTTTGATGCTTTCCTCCATCTCCCGCCGCCTGGTTCTTTGAGATAGGATCTCTTCCTGGACCCAAAGTTCTCCAGTTGGCTGGGCCAACTGGCCGGTGAGCTCTGGGAAGCGGTCGGCATCTGATCTACCCCACTCCCTTGACTCCTGAAGCGGGTGCTGTGTCCACCCTAGCGCGCCTTTTTACATGGGAGCTGTGTTCTCGCTCCGGTTCCGTATCTCTTGGTATGATAAAACACTCCAACCAAAAGTAACTTAGGAGATGAAGGATTCATTTGGCTTCAACTACCGGGTGACAGTCCATCAGTGAGGGAGGCAGGGCAAACACGGGAAGGTAGACGATGTCAGAGGTAATGCAGAGAGCTCACTCACAGCCAGAGACGTACTAGAAACCGCGGAGCGACGTTGCTTGCGGGATCACCGAGGCTTGTTGGAGCTAGCTTCCTCCTCCAGTTAGGACTCCTCAGGAAATAGTACCGCCCACAGGGGGCGGGCCCTCCTACACCAATTAACAATCACTACAGTCCCACCAACACCCACAGGGACCAATTTGATCTAAGCAATCCCGCAGCGAAGCTCTTCCTCTCTAGCGGAAGCTCAGCGGGAGAGCCAACTAAGCTGCTCCCAGCTGTGTTATCTGCTGCTCTCCCGTGGCCCTGCTCATCCCTGCTCACCACCTGCTGTCTTCTATCTCTTCCAGACTGAGTGTTCCTGGTGGATTCCTAGGTATTGGCGTCCATAGAGGCTTCATTTCCAGAGTAGGACCCAGCCTGCCTCAATCTACACAACTGGTGGCCTTATTCTCACCATGAGCCCCATGCGGGGGGGGGGGGGGTTGCCAGCTCAACAACCTCAGAGTGTCACCATGGGAACCCCAGCAGGCCTGGCTCCTCCCAGGGGCAGCCCCACCTTGGGTGGATCAAACTCTGAGTTGGCAACTCTGGGCTCTGCCACAAGCAGAGGGGGCCAGAGGGTCCCGGGGTTACAAGGACCACAGACCCTATTCACAGCTTCCCCACAATGGGGAGAATAAAACCTTTTGACAGAAATCGGAGCGCACGCCTGATTCAGCCGGGGCAGGAGGGCTAGACCTTGGTGTTGGTGGCTGAGGTAGGCTGGGAATTTGGGTCCTTGATGGATTTTATTTTGCTCTATCTCAATGGCCTGGTGTCAGTCCCTCCTCCAGACCACCACACCTGCCGATGTGGCCCCAGCACCTCTGTACAGACCTCTGTTTTAGGGGCTGAGTCTGAGTTCCTGCTGCTTTCCCGTGGGAACAAGAGACTCAGTTCTGGAGAGGGGCAAGCGCTGCGCTCATCTGCTCTGGCAACATGCAAACATTTGATGCAGATTTGGGGAGATAAATGCGTATGTGTCTTTAAAAATGCCTAATTAGTGGGAAATTGCAGGCCACACTCACCCGGGGGTTGAGGCGAATCCGCATCCTTACACATTGCAATTTAACTAAATAACCCACAACAAACTAAGCTGGTAATGGCAAGGCTGAACGGACAGCAATTATTAGTTAAATTAGTGAGAAAGCCGCCAACAGCCAACACATCCAAAAACCAAAACTAAAACATCCTCCCAATTGGAGGGGTTCCAGCTCCCTGCCTCTCTGTGGAGTCATGTTGGAACATGGCCAACTGTGCATCAGTGAGACTCCCCAGGAAATGCCGAGTCCATCCCACCAGCCCACATAGTAACCATGGCGGCAGTAAGAAGGGGCCGCACCAGCACTAGCTGACACGTCACTCGGTGCTGCTAGCCTTGCGCTGACTGCTTCTTGGGTACAAGTCTTTCTGTCAAGCAGTGAGAGCAGATCCATCTCCTAGCAGGTGCTAGGAATTTAGATTTTTTTTTAAATCCACTAATTAAAAAAAAAAAAACGGGCACGCCTTTAATCCCAGCACTCGGCAGGCAGAGGCAGGCGGATCTCTGTGAGTTCGAGGCCAGCATGGTCTACAAGAGCTAGTTCCAGGCCGGGCGATGGTGGTGCACGCCTTTAATCCCAGCACTCGGGAGGCAGAGGCAGGTGGATCTCTGTGAGTTCGAGGCCAGCCTGGTCTACAGAGCTATTTCCAGGACAGGCTCCAAAGCCACAGAGAAACCCTGTCTCGAAAAACAAAAACAAACAAACAAACAAACAAAAAAAGAGCTAGTTCCAGGCCAGGCTCCAAAACCACAGAGAAACCCTGTCTTGAAAAAACAACAACAAAAAAAATAATAAAAAATAAAAAAAAAAGGATGGTGGTGGTGCGAGCCTTTAATCCTAGCACTCGGGAGGCAGAGGCAGGTGTATCTCTGCGAGTTCAAGGCCAGCCTAGTCTACAGGAGCTATTTCCTGGATAGCCAGGACTGTTACACAGAGAAACCCTGTCTCAAAAAAACCTTATTAGTTTATGTACGTGTGTGTGTGTATACATGTAGTCCCATGTATATGGGTGGACACATGCATGCCACAGTGTATGTATGGGTGAAGGTCAGAGGACAACTTGAGAGACTAATTTTTGTCCTTCCATGAGTCTCCCAGCTATCAGATTCAGGCTGCAGGAAGCATCTTCCAGCTCGGGGGATAACAGAAGGAGCCCTCCCCGACTGAGCCACTCACCCAGTCCCCTCCAACCTCTAGCTGAGTCCCCAGACCCTAGCATTTTTTTGATTTAGGAACCAGCATATCTCATAGGCAGAAATTTCACTCCAGAAGGTTAAATTTGAGTCGAAGTTCCTTTTGCAGGAATCCATTAGCTGGACGTCGTGGCTCCTGTCTTTAATCCCAGCACTCCAGAGGCTCAGGCAGGCAGATCTTTGTGAGTTCAAGGCTAGAACAGACTACAGAGCAAGTTCAAGGACAGCCAGGGCTACACAGGGGGAAAAAAAAAGCCCTGTCTTCAAAAACAAACAGAAAAGGAATCCTTTAAACCAAACTCATCCCAAGAGTATAGTTTTTCCTCTGGACCCCGTGGAACCTTGGTAACCACAACTGTTGGAGCCGCATGTGCGTGCTGTGAGCAGAACCTGTCCTGAGCCTGCAGTCACGTAGTGCAGCAGCCCCTACGGTGCAATACTAGACTCACTTGTAAGGAGGCAAAAATCAAACCCCAGACCTGGCAGCGGTTGATGAGGAGTGTGTCCGTTTAGTAAAGTGTGGCCCTCTGGGATAGGAAGGATGGGGGCTGCACAGGTCAAGATCGCTGGAACCTGCTCAAGATCCAGCAGGAAACTCCGTCAGACCAGTGGAGGGGGTGACCAGGAGGACCAGGCAGAAGCCAGGGAGGATGGGTTTATTTTGGCTCATGATTTCAAGGAATATAGAATTCTGTTAGAAGTCCGCCTCAGCCCCACTCTTTCCTCTCCAAATCCTGCCACCCTCAGAAAGACCACAAAAAGTCTAGGCTCCTCCCACGAAGCTCAAGACCACGCCTACAGGGTATTTAAGCCCCAATCGCTAGACCTGCCACGTGAGTTCTCCTCCCTCCACCACCTCACTTCCGGGGGACTGGAAAAGTCACTCTAGAACGCTTGGCTCATTAAACCTGGTCTTTTTAATTTGGCTTGATCTGGTTTATTACATCGGTGGAGTAACCTACTATCTCGGCACCAAAAATACCTATCATATAGTCCACCGTGGTGAAGGGGTATGGCTACAGTGCATCTGTGATGGTAGCCTGTTGACATCACGGCTTACTAGGAAGTAGAGACACAGAAACAGATTAGACTACAATCCCCCAAATCTCACTTCCAGTGACTTACTTCCTGTCTGGAGTCAAGTTTTCAAAGGTTCCACACTCTCCCCAGAGAGCGCCACCTGTTGGAGCACAAACATTCAAGCACAGGCGCACATTTCACACCAGGACAAGACGGCCACGTTAGTGCAGAGTGCTCCCAATAAATGCTGAAGGACCCCCGTTGTAGGGAGACTCTCACTCAAGTCTCGGGATAACACGAGAGACTGACCTTGCTGCAATCACACGAGGTTTATTGACAGGTACCAGTGCACTGGGGCTGAGACTCATAACCCACGCAGGGGAGGAGTTCGACTGGGAGAAGGGGTTTTTAAGGGAAGAAACCACAGCCCAGTAATTTGAAGGGGGTAGGAAGGGTGCCATAGAAAATTCCGAAAATACCAGTGATGATCACAAGGGGGCAACTCCCTGTTTCTCAAGATTATTCTCAGGATCATAAACAGCTAGTTCCTGAAAACACAGTATTCCAAAAATACCAGTGATAACCACAAGGGGGCAACTCCCTGTTTCTCAAGATTATTCTCAAGATTACAATCTAATCTTCAGATAGTTCCTGGAACAGCATCACTGAACCGGCTAATCCTAGGTTTCTGATTTTCTCCCTGCTTAGATTTTTGGCTCTATTTTTTCCTGCTGGGGGTCTGGATTTATCCAGGTCTTTCAATGGCAGTGCTCAGGATACCTTTTCCAGAGAGCTGGGCACAGGGGTGGATGGATTAGCGAGGCTGGAGGGCGGAACCTGTGGGGCCCAAAGGGACCTAAGGAGAGGGAACTTTCTCTTTGGTGGTGGTGGGTGCTGGCAGCTGCTTGCTTTGGCATCTTGATTGGTGCTCTTTAAAGAGGGGAGTTCAGCGTTGTTATGGCCAGATCCTTAACGTCCCCCGCAAACCAACAAGGAGACCGAGTCTTGTATGTAAAAGCCAAGAGCCTTTATTTTACACAGGTTTGCACACTCTGTCTCTTCGTGTGTCTAACGTATTGGAATAATCGGAGAGCCCAGGCTTAGCTAGAGTTGGGTTTTTATAGTAGAAAAGGTGGGGGTGAGGGGTTTCTAAGGTTCAGGGCCCCTGGTTGGCTGAATCTGTCTAGGGGTGTCCTGGTGAGTGTGCTGGCAGGTGATCCTATCTACAGCTGTTGAAATGTTAGGCATTTCCTTTGGGTGGTATGTTCTTGGGTGGTGCTGGGTAATCTCAGTTTATGGTCCTTCCTGCAACCAGGTATTGCTTCAGGGTAAACTGCTGAGACTCAGGCCTCCATTAAACTTATCACTGGCTGAGTCCTACACTGGCAGGCTATAATGGTTGGCAGATAAGAACTTCCTTTGGGTGATCTGTTCATATTTAGCTTATCAAGGCTGGCTCCTACATTTCTCCCTTTACAAGCTCTGATGACAGGACCCAGTCAGGGGTCTTGCTACTTGTCCATGGTTTTAAGGAGGTGTTATCAATTCTCCAAGGTCCTGCTGTTTGCCCACAATCTGGACAGTGGTCAGCATCATCATAACCCAGGTGGAGACACCATGGTGTCCATAACTTCTCTGGAGACCTTGGGTCACTGCTAGGATCTCAGAGTTTCTGTCTGATATAATAAGCTTTTTAATCATTATTTTAAATGCCATCTCCTGCAGATCTCTGAAGTTTGAGGGCTGCCTAGGTATGTGTGATTAGACAAACTTCGTTTCTAGTTACTTGTTTTAAGTTTGACTTTGAAAACATATACAGGGGAGTAAATAAGGCTTGTCCCAGTAATTAATTATACCAGTAGTTTAAGGATGACTGACTAACTTGTACTTCCTAACAATCTGTAATAAGTTAGCAGCTTTCACAAGACTAGAACTCCACACTCTGTAATGATTGAATTAAAGCTAATAAAGAAATCAAATTAATCATTCTGAGGGTAAACACACATAACAGGTTTCTATCCAGCTGTTAATGCTGCCTCCTGGAAGGCAAGGAACAGGTTCCCAGGTGAAATGGGATCAGGAGGGAGTCTAAGAGCTAGCATTGCCCTAGGGCAAACTGAGACTCAGGCCTACCTTCCTGCTGATCTTTAGAACCTGTCTTGGCAGGTGTCTACCAAGTTGTCCTGGGAAAGCTGTCGTCTTTCCCCTTTCACAAGTACCAATGAGTACTGATGACTGGACTCAATCATGAGTCCGTCTGTACAGGGGCTCAAGGGGGTGGACCTCAATACCATCAGTGAAACAGTATTTACCCGTTCTTGAACAAAAACCATCAGTCTGTTGATGAGGCAGGGGCCGAGAGCTGAAAGTGAGATTGTTAACCAAGGGGACCAGTTGAACAGGTTTCATACATCCAGCTTCTGTGGGAGTGTTCTGTCGTTAATCCATTTCCTTAACAAGACCATTGGATCTCTAATTACCCCCAAGTGACTGACATAGAAACAACATTCTTTCCTCAGAAGAGGAGGTCCAAACTTCTTAGATCAATGCAAAAATGCATGACTCTGTTTATCCAAATAGCTTAAACCCAACAAAGTTAGCAAAGACAAGGAGGCTAAACATACTCTCTAAGCCAGAACAGACATTGAACAAGGAAATACATTTTTAAACTATTAGTAAATATTTTTAAGGCTTTGACCTTTTAATATATTTCTCCATGGTATAGTGATTACAGAATTATTTTACAACTGCAGTTTTGCCTGCGTTGTGAATCTCAATCCTAACACCTGACATGCAGGTGGTCCTAGACTGCCCCTGTACCCCAAAAGATTGGGACCCACAGGCTTGGACGTTGTTCCAAGTCCTCTATCAAACTGTTCAGGTCATTGTCTTCTGCATCACAAGAAATGAACATTTCTGATTCTGGTTAGCTTTTGGTGCTTCTGGCTCTAACCCTAATTTTTAGCCTTTTATTTTAAGTTCAAATATTTAACAAAACATTTTATAAGCACAGATGTCCCACAGCCTTATAAATTTATTTAAAAACTCTTTTCCTAAAAAAATTTAAAT